TGAGACTCCTATCTCCAATAAACCACCAGAAAACCAGAAGTGGTGCTGTAGCTCAAGTGGTAGAGCGCTCGCCTTGAGCTGAAAAGCTGAGGGACAGCGCTCAGGCCCAGAATTCAAGCCCCACGACCGACCAAAAAATCTGATGTAAAAAAAAATGTATATTTGGGGACAATAGTAGAAGTGAACAGAATTAAATTAATCTAAGAACTGTAGCCCAAAGATTCGTAAGAACAGAGCATGAAGATAAGGAAGACAGGACTCCCTTTAGTCAGTGAATACTGTAGGAACTGACAGAATAACTCAAAGTCAAGAGGAAAAAGGAACCAAACTGTCAGTGTGGATGTCTTGGAAAGAACTCTGGAGACTGCTCTGATAGTGCAGGGGAGAGGCCTGACAGTTCTGTTCTTCTTTAAGTGAGATAAAATGAACGAATTTAACTTTTGTAAAGTATGTTTCAGTATATTTTAGTATACTCACATTGTTAACTGTCATCACTTGTCTCCTCTGCGTCTTCTCCCTACAGCCTTTGGGAAACAATCTCCTTTCTGTTTATACATTTCTCTATTTTGGCCACTTTATGTAAATGGATTTGTACATCATTAAGTTCTTGGATTACTGGTATATGCCTACATGCCCAAAGTAATAATCTTTTAAGTCATATGTTATAATAGGTATCAGTACTTTACTATTTCTGAATCCTACCAGCACAGCAACAACCACAGCTATATTCAGTTCTGGAATGTGACAACATTCCCTGAAAAGAAAATGGGATGGAGCTGTCAAGGTCTTCACCTTACTGTTCCTGGTTTTAATTCTGATAAGCCTAAACAAGCTCTTTGCTTATAAATTCAATAGTAAACTAAATTATTAACTGGGGAATATGACAATGTGCTCTTAAACACTAAGAGCTAACCTAACTGAAATGATGTACAAAAATCTTTATGAATAAAGCCAGAGAAATACTGGCACAAACTCAGAAAGGAGACTGGCAGGAAGAGACAGGAAAAGAAAAACAAATCACTGTGAACAAGGCTGTTCCTGCTTGAGATCCTGTTGAAATTACTAGGTGGATTTAAAGTTATATGAAGCTAAAGAGAAATGGATTTATCTTGTTCACCAGTTCTCACGGGGAAAGCCAATCCCCACCTCAAAAACCCAATAAGCAAACCGAGAGCATAACCTGTATCCTGAGATAAGTGTGCTTTCAAAAGACCAACAGGTGTGGAGATGGTTTATTACAAAGTCAACAGGAAAATGATAAAGATAGCAATTCTATGAAGGCAGAGTACCCCAATCAAGTGTGACACCTGCTGGCTGACCAAAAGAGATACAAGTATCTTCAGACTTAAATATTTCATACCACAAAGTGCAAATTAAAATATAAAACAAAGGGCTGGGAAGGTGGCTCAGTGGTAGAGCGCTTGCCTTGCATGCCTGAGGCCCTGGGTTCGATTCCCCAGCACTACATAAGCAAAAAGAAAAAAGCCGGAAGTGGCGCTGTGGCTCAAGTGGTAGAGC